CATTGAACACAACGCTGCTGAAGCTGCTGGTCAACAGCCCAAACCCTTCACATCTGAAAACTTGGGAAACAAGAGGTAAAATGACAAACCAAGGGGCACCAACACCAAGCACCGAATACTTTTCCTGCGGCAAGTGGAGATCGAGGAGCCCTTCCAAGGTGGGTGATATCTGGAATCAACACACTCAGAAAAAAGCAGCCAAGAGAAATCGGGAAAGTACATTACTTCACTGCAAGGACCATCAAGAAGTTACCTGATTCTTACTTCTATCTCGAAGCATGGAATGACAGAGTAAATCCAGAAATTAGAAGAAACAAAAACATAAATTTCTACCTATCTTGTGAATGTTAAGGAAATAAAAAAAGGGGTTGGGGAAGATAGCTTGGTGGTCTAAGTACTTGCCTGGCAAGCACAAGGACATGGGTTCGATCCCTAGTACTGCATGCCATGCTGGCCCTGTTACCCCTGGGGATGCTGAGACAGAAGGATTACGACAAGGGTGAACTGCATAGAGAGACCCTGTATCAAATTTTAAATAAAGTAAGCAAGTGACCAAGCAAGCAAAACTCATTCTCAGGTAAAAATACTACTTAAACTAGACTACTAAGTTACCCCATGCTAATTATTTTACAAACAGACAATAGGAAATTTCGAGTTTGCCATCATATATAGCTATATAATCTCCATAATCTTATCCCCAAGCTGAATTTCCTTCATTTATCAAATTTTCTGGATTATGTAGTTTAAATATCAAGTCTACACTGAACTCCACAGATGAAGAAACAAAACAGCTGATTGACTGATTGACTTTTACTTACTATGCAGCTCAGGTTGGCCTTGGACTCATTTGTAGCCCAGGCTGGCCTCGAACTCACAGAGAGCCTCCTTCCTGCCTCTCCCAAGCCCTGGGATTAAAGGTGTGCGCCATCAAACTGGTCCAACTTTCCATTTTAAAATGTCATTTTCTACTATTATTCAACCGAAATATATGACTGCAAAGTCATCGTGCAACCAGACGTACTTTTTCTGGCAGCGCAACAGATGGGTAAGCACTCTTCGCAACTGCAGGAAGGGCCTTCTTGAGTCAGGTTTATTCAAAAGGTCTCCTGTGCTAGGTCTGACTTTCTAACATCAAGTAATAGAGATACTCAACAACAGAACCCTCTCTTCAGAGGCTACTCTGCAGAATCTACGTTAGGGCAGAAGCCCACATACTTCAGCAAAATTGCTAAGCTATGCGCATATTAAGCTCCTTCACAAACTGCTGTATTTTCGTGATCTAAGAATCCATGCCAAATTGAGGCCAACAGCTATATATTAGTTTGAGGTATCTTAACTTTTTACTTCATTGTCAACAAACACATACATGACCAGTGTTCAGAACTCTGTGTGAAGCACTGGGAATGCACATAAGTGCAGCATGGCATTTGCCCGAGACACGCTAAAAATTGTTTGGGAAGACAGGTTTAAAGTTAAGCATTGGGATTATATGCTTTCTGTAAAGACACTTAGTGCTCAAAAATAATTTAGAAAAGGAAAAAATAACAGAGGTCTGAATCTAGAAAAGCTTCTTGAAAGAGAGATACAGGGCCAGATAGATAGCTCAGCGGACTAAAGAGCCTGCTTAGACAGAGGCAGGGACTGGGGTTTGATTCCCTGGCTGCAGTACCAGCCGCGCCTTGGGGGCACGCTGAGACAGCGACTGAGCCTGGGCAGGGTGGTGTGCACCTGTAACCCCAGCACTTGGGAGGCTGAAAACAGGAGGATCACTACAAGTCCCATCTGTGTGGTGAGACCCTACAGATCCTATACTAAATACATTAGAGACAGAGACAGAGACAGAGACAGAGACAGAGAGAGACAGACAGACAGAGACAGAGATTGAGATACAGCTCCAAAAGCAGAATAACAGATAAACAGAGAAAAGCATGACATTCTAGAAAGGAAGAAGTTTTCCCTTTGAAAACACTGAGCTTCTCCCTCCTGGAACTAAAGGTACCCTTCTCTAAAATAACATGAGAGAGATAAATCAGAGCAAGAAAAAGGGCATGAACCTTGGGGAACTCCAGTAGAAAATATAAGGGAAACCCTGATACTGCTTTAGGCAACAATTTTTAAAATAAGATATAAAAGACACTATAAATTTTTAAAAAATGCATCATTATTAACAACAACAACAAAAGAATCAAGGTCATTTTGGTCCTAATGGTACAAAACCAGATACCTACTAGAGGTAATTGAGTGTAAGGTGGAAAGTATAGCAATAATGCTAGAAACTCATTGATTAAAACAAAAAAGTTTCAGTCCTCCTAATAACTCCCAACAAAGGGAGAAATTATGCAAATTATGCAGATATAACTGGATCAGGATTCCCAGTTATATGAAAGTATGAAACTACTTTCACAGAGAAGAGATTCTCAATCCATGTAAGATATATCTAAGAACTTCACCTCTTTTCAATATTATATTCAAATATTAAGTAATTCCTACTTGTGCATGGTTTTTCCATAGGTAAAATAAAACTAATCCTCATTGGGTTTTCCAAAGGCTTCTTCCTAAAATTTTCAGAATAAATGTGCTAGGATAATTGGCCTGTAGGAGGCAAGGTACTACAGGGTGAGAACAGGGGAAGCAGCCGTTGAACTCTGTCATCTTCCAATCTACAACAAAGATTTAAAAGAAAAATCAAACTGCCAAGATTTATTCAACTTTCTCTTTCACAGAAAATACAATATGTAATATAAACACTGACACATGAATAAAGCACAAAGATCAGAAAGACAAATGAACTGGATAATACACTTGCTTCAACATTATAGTGCTTCCTGATTTCATTTGCACCATAAATCACATGATTTTAGACAAATTAAAGGCAACATTCAGACTTACAGATGTAAGAGAGCTTCTGAACTCCTAACAATGCCATATCAAACAATGCCAGAAAGTTTGATCTTTCTGATGAAAAATCAATTAAAAATTAAAGCTGAGCCCAGTCCATTATCCACTTACTCAAGGCATTTAATGTAAGAGCATGAGAATGAATTAACACATGAGCTTTGCTATGTCTCTGGAGACAAAGATTTAATTTGCCTCTTTTTCCTCTCTAGAGAAAATAAAATTAACCAAATTAAAAAGCAGAGCTGCCTGGTACTGGCTAGCAGAGTGTACAATGACAGCGGATTCTTATTTCCATATACTCCAGGAAAGGTAAAACACAATAAAGGACTGCCATTAGTGAAAGGGTTACCTTCATCTTGTGTGCAGAATCACACAAGGTTTTCAGAATTCTTTCCCAGAACATCAAACGAGGAGAAAGGACTTCAGTGGGTGACTGGGATCAAGAGCCACCTTAATTGTAAAACAATGAGTCTGCTTCTAAACTTCAATTCCTACATTTAGGAATATAGGCTGCAGTTTTCTGTGGTTATCTCAAGAAATCAAAATGGCCTGTCTTATCAGATGACACCTACCTATGAGAAGTAAATTTTGATAATAGAGGCCTGCCATACAGACTGGTTCATAATGCTACTCGATGTCACAAGATTTGGGTTCAGATAAGGCTTGCTTAGAGCTGGAGATCAGAGAATGCCAGGTTTGCCAAGTGTACCCACTCCCACACTGAGCCCATAATGAAAGGGTACTCTGAATCATCTCTACTTCCTAATTCAGTGCCCTACAGACTATGTAGTAAGAAGTACCTTATGTACTTACGGCGGGCAAAGTAGCTCATGCCAAACATCGATTCTTTGGAAGAAAAATGCTACTCTGAACAGGTGTTTTGAAACCCATTTCTGTACAGAGCTAACCTCCTAGTAATGCTAAGAGATGGAAATTTTTTTGTTTTTAAACTGTCACATGAAAAACACCTTCACAACAAAAACCATTGATTTTTATATCCCTTACCTATAGCACTTGGCACAGTATCTTGTGATTTATTGTGTTCTTTTTACTAAAGAGATCAAGAACAAAGAAAACCAAAATTGAGGTTTTCCAAGGGATAGGAACTGACATTCCAAGGAAGTCCTGTATTAATCCTTTTTATGCTATAATTAAGTTCTTGCTCAGGGACCTTTTATTTTTTCAAACAAGCAAGATAACACAATCAGCACTATACTACGCTCTGCGTGCGTGCTCGTGTGCGCATGTGCACATCCATGTTTGTTGGATACCAAACCCAGGGCCTCACAGATGCCGAGAACATACTCTACCAGTGGGCTTTGGTAGACTTTCAGTACTGTAGCAGTCCGATTAGACAACCACAACCCTTCATCGACTTCCATTACTGGACTCTTACTTATCCCTACAAAAAGGAGAGGTTTTGTCCTGCTGTGAAGGACAGTATGTTACTGTAAAAAGGGAAGATGCTTCACCTATAGTCCTCTGCCCTGTAATCAGATCATAAACCCACTATTTGCTTTGGAAAACATTAACCAATAGTATCAAAAAGCAAAAGCTAGAAATTTTTCTAAGACGTGGGGCTCCAGTTTACTTTCAATTATTGTTCTGTATTGTCTGGACCTATCACCTTTCCAATGCTTTAAATCCAGCTCCGAATATTCCTTACATAAAAAAAATAATAATATTTAGAGAGGATCCCAAGAAGAAAGTTTTTCTACAGTAACCACCCATTTGTCTCATTATTATTTCCCTTCCCTTCTCAGGGTATGTCCCTATTGGAAAGTCCTTCTCTTTGAAAGTTGAAAGATAGAAAATTCTGAAAAATAGATCCATCCTATTTTCAGACACTAGAAATAGTTATCCTTAGGGAAATAAGGCACCTCTAAAGTAACCCGAGAGGAATGACAGGGATAGTCCAGACAGTTGGGTCCTCTGGCTGCACAGGAACCTTCCTGCCAAAGCCTGATTATATTATGCAGCACTGTGGTGATGGACTAATACACAGGAAGATTTGAGGCTCCAATGAACTCAAAACATGTAAAGTTGTGTTTTGAAATAGAAAGCTACAGTATGAGTCAGATCTCTGGTCAACTTCATCATCCTTCCAAGCTAGATGAGAAATTAAGCAACCTAGGTTCTAGGTCCTAGTTCTTTACTGGCTGTGGGTCCATGGGCAAATCACTTTCCTGTCTTTAGCCTGCTTTCTCATCTGTAAAGTGGGGATAAAATGACCTGTTGTCTACTTTGCATTGTGATTGTGACAGTCAAGTGAGACTGCAAGTGCTGTGTAAATTGTGAGATACTGTAAATAAAGGGAAGTAGTATGTGCCTGTTACATTTTAATGGTCCTTTTCCTTGCCTATTTGATGAGAAGCACCCCATGTGGGATGTGCCTTGACACAGAACTGAAAAAAAAGTATAAATATACACTGGTCCTTTTCACTAGGATTGTTTTAAAAAAGAAAACTCCTAACTTTCTCAGCAATGGCCTCAGAACACATTATTTTAAAATGTGATGTCATCCAAATCTACCAACTGATAGAATTAATTTCTCTACAAATGCCCTACTATATGTTAGTCTGTTGATGCTTTACACAGTGGAGTCAGGAACTCAAGATACAGCATGCCAAAACTCAAAAGAAAAACGTAAGATACCCATACAGTGGAAGTTGGTGGTAAAGGAAGTAAAGTGGAAATTAAAGGCATCCTATATAATAAAATTAAGTCACAGTTCCTCAAATGGTTGCCTTTTTCCTGAGATCACCCCAGACAGGACAGGGGCTTGGTCCTGTGAAGTGCTTTACCGAAGCTTAGTCTTGCTGGAGGTGAAAAAGGATGCGTTGTTAGCAAGGAGGCTGGGCTCATTTTCAGCACTAGGATTTGAACCATGAAGTCTGCTAGAAGTTGTGGATAGCTTTGGTGGAGAAGCCTGTGGGGCCTGAGAGAGGCTGGCTGGTTCTCAGATGCCCAGCCACAGTGTGGACAGTTAACACAGCTATCCAGTCCAGGAATTTTCAAATCTTCCTATAAGCTGGTTCTGCTCTTCTTCGGTCTAATAAATAATTAAACAGAAAAAAACAAAACAAGACAATGAGATGTGTAGCACTATATCTGTCTGTGGTTTAGGGCCTTGTCCTGCCTATCTGCAAAGTTCACATGCAGAAAAGAGACACCGAAGCGAATGTAACTTTGACTAGACTTTGAGAGAACACCTGGCCTAGCTCAAAGACCCAGATTGCTCTATTCATGTCAGATGACCTTTATTAAAAATACTATAGGTGATGAGTTGGAGGGAGTCGGCAGCAGAACTGCTAGGTAACAAGATGGTTGTCCTTTGAGGCCACGAACATGTTGCTAACCTCCACTTTTCTTCTTGACTTGCTTTGCTTTCCGGGGTTTGAAGATGGTGTAGTTTGCATATACTGTATATTGATCAGACAAGAAGGGGACATAAAATGCCCGCAGGAGCCTTGAAGATCTGAAAAACAAGGGCAGCGAGGAAGAACGTTACTATTTGGGAGAACTTACTAATGAAAGTAACACCAGGTACTGGGAAGATTATGTTTTATGAAAGCAGCACATAAAAGGCTGCTATTGGATACTGGATCACTAAAGACAACTTAAGACCAAGTTCCCCAAGCCAAAATGAAAACCAGGGCTAGGGAGATAGCTCAGTGTAATAAGTGCTTGCCTGGCAAGCGCAAGGTCCTGAGTTCAATCCCTGGTACCATCAAAACAACAACAAAAAGAAAAAACAACACAACAAACTCTCCCCAGAAAGTCAAAGCACATCCTTCAAAATAGCTCTAGGTCTTCATTTTGCATCAGAATGTGCCATAGAAAAGTCCTAGGTCAGTGAAAGGGCTGCTATTCCTGGAAGGCTTGCTTTTGGAGTACTGGGTTGGACCCAGGCCTGGCACTTGCCAGGGAAATGCTATGCCACTGAGCCACATCCTCAGTCCTCTTTATTTTAAGCTAGGGTCTCCCCAAGTTGTCTAGGCTGGCTTTGAACTTGCCATCCTCCTTCCTCAGCCTCCCAAATGAATGGGATCACAGAAGTAGACCGCATACCAGCAGAGATGAAATAACACACAAATGGTTTCTGCACCTAAGAGACTAGAGATGGCATATGCTCCAGGACCCTGACTCCAGGTCTAAATTTCCATAAACAGGAAAAGACAAGTAAGTCTTGGGGCCCGTGCAGAGTATTCTACTAATGACCAAGCCAGGGAGAGTCAACGCACAAACTCATGTTACGGCAACATATCCCTGGCGAATTCTATCTACTTATCACTAAAAATAAGAGAATAACTGAAAACATAAATTTCTCATGAGTTTCTGAAGAATATGCTAAGTGCTTTTGCTTTTATATATATTATTTAATCTATGATTATCAGATGGTGAGAATGATATTATTATCTCTTATTTTTTCTTTTTAGATAAGGTATTGCTATGAAATTCGGATTGGCCTCACATTTGCTGTGATCTTCCTGCCTCAGCCTCCCAAGTGCTGGGATTATAAGTATGTGGCACCACATTAGATTTTTCCTTGTTTCATAGGTGGGAAACTGGGGCTTAAAATTAGTCAAAAGTCGAAACGTTTTTTGGTACTGGGACTTGAACTCAAGGCCCTGCATTTGCCAGGCAGGTGCTTGTGCTGCTGAGCTTTATTCCCAGCCCAAAACTTTTAATTAGCTAAAACTTGTGCAGAAGCAGAGAGTAAGTGAACAGGGTCTCATTTAATTCCCAGTTTTATTCTAGAGTCTGTATGCTTAATCACGATGGTTTACTCTGCACCCCAGAAACAGGTTCTCAGATGCCCTAAATGGCTAAATGGCTTTCTCAATCCCAGAAAAAGTTATAGTGATAGCTTCAAGTTCTACATGAAGTATTGCTTCCTAAATCTCACTTCTGCGTTTGAAATTCCCAAGTTGGCCCAGTTATTGCTGCCCTAAATGAGACAGCTGAGGGGTGTGCTAGTGCCAGTCCTTCTCCGAATTCTAAACTTGGAAATGTCATGGCAGCGTGGCATTTGTACTGGCAACTTACATCTGAGTTTGGCAAACTCCTGCAACGCCTGTACACAATGATATCGTGCTTGGCAAGCATGCCACTTCCCAACTGGGATGCTGGCAGTGTCCTGCGCCCCCCAGAGATGCACTGCACTTCCCCAGCTAACTGCTCTAGGGTTCTGACAGAGAACAGAAGCTGGGAGAAGAGCACACAGAGACAAAGCTAGGCTCATACAAAGAGAACAAACAAGTAGAAGAAGTGCCTACCACACACCAAAAGAAGTTAAATTACTCCTTTTGGCCCTGCTACACAGATAAGGTAATGGCTGGAACAGAGAGACATGCACCAGACCAAACTCCTATAAAAGCCTAAGTATCGCTCCTGCTGATGGCTTCATTAACACAGTCTGTACATGTCCGGTGCAACTCAGCCCTCGGTGTGACATCAGCACCCACTGAACCCAACTTTAACTTTCTCTTTAAAGCACTTTTTTAAAAAAAATATTTAAGAAGTATCCCAGTTGATAATTCTATTCTTTTTAGTTTCTTCTAAAAGAATAAAGAGAACTTATACTATTTTTAAAAAATAAAATAAGATCAATTCTGGCAATTATCAAATGGATCTATAACTTATTTTTAGAATAAATCTAAGCTACATTATCAGATCTTGGTAGTCTTACTTTTCCAGATTTTGTTGTTTCCGTTGTATAGTGCTACAGTTGGAACCCAGGGGCACACACACGCTACTAGACAAGCACATTTTTCTTTATCTTGTTATGTACAATTATGCTTTAAAAGCAAAGACTATACAAGACATTTGATAGAATTACTGAAAATGTTAATGCAATAATGAGGTTGGACATCATTACTGCATTGTCTTTCGGGTTTCTTATTATACCCCAAGAACTAGACCATTATTTAATATGGTACACATGACTGGAAGCACTATATCTATTTATTCAACACAGTTCAGAATACAGAAGCTTTAAAGAATTTTTTCCATCTACAAAGACAAATAAAAGAAATTCGAGAGGAAGATGTCACAATTCTTAAATATATCAGAAGATGAATACAAAGAGAAGAGTGACAGAACAGACTCTAATGGTGATGATCACATTGATTGTATTAGCAAAATTTCAGACTATGGGTTTTCAGACAGCTATAAACTAGATGAAATTCCTCAAACTCAAGAAGTGGTAAGTGGGCCCCAAAAACGTATGCATCAGGAAAAGAAAAACTTGTGTAAATATTGTAACACTAAATTTACTGAGACATCATGAGATTAGTACATGTTGCCTTTGGCCTCTAAAATTAGAAGAGGTGCTCACAGTGGTACTCATCAGCTTTCAGGTATTTATTAGTATGATAAACTACTGAAATGCAGATACATTTTGGGGGTAGTCTGTACATATATTCACAATAAAAATAAGCATATCATTTAAAATTATGGTTGTTTTCATTATTCTTTTATTTTTGTAAGTTATTTATAAAATAACTAAAAATTATGAAAAGAAACAAAGGTCCATTAAACCAACGCAGTCACTGGTGAGGACTACTTTCCAGGTACACTGACAGATCCTGCCGGGGTTCCAGAGGTATTTCAGAAGACTACCCTGGGCCAGACAAAGGACGCAATCATCATCAAACTACTAGATGCACTAAAATGGAAGAGGGGCCGCTCTGCATGACTGTTGAGTACAAATGGCAAGCTAACAGAAAGGCAAAAGATAGATTGGGATAAACTATTTGTAATGCACAAAATGGGGAATTAATACCTGTACAGTATGCAAACGTCGCTCTTCCCCAATCTGCCTTTCTATTCTAGTGCTCACACTTTGATTATACACACTCTAATTTCATGAAAAATGTGTTTATTCTTGCCTAGAGGCTGCCAAATCCCAAGTGATCATGCAGATGGAACAATGACAAACATGCCAGACTCCTTTTCCAGGATCTACCAGATAATTCTTGTAAAGAGGGATCCTAACTGCTGAACCACAACATGACTTCTGAGGTCCATTAGACCAGCTCACAAGAAGGCCACCGACTATAGTTTCTCCTATGCTGACCCTTCTCAGCTTGAAGCAGCTAGATGGAAACTATGCCTCTTCTCCCCTAACTGCGTTAGGGATTCTTCTTCAGAGGGGGGAATATTATATATAGATAGCTAAGTTAGGTAGAAATATACTAGGTAGTCGACACAGCTGGGCCCTCAAGGGAGTCAGTGCAAAAGACGACAATCCAACAGGAGGACTGTGACTGGAGGCACACTAAAGGTTAAAGTCACAATGGCTAGTTTCACATCTGTCCTTCTCACCCTTTTGGGATTTCCCATTGTCTCATTAGGGGTGGACCCCTCAGAAAAAATGGCTATCATAAAGAAATCAACCAACAACAAATGTTGGAGAGGCTGTGGGGAAAAAGGAACCCTTCTCCACTGCTGGTAGGAGTGTAGACTGGTGCAACCGTTATGGAAATCAGTATGGAGACTCCTTAGAAAACTAGGACTGGAAATCCCCTTTAAACCAGCTATCCCTCTACTGGGACTTTTCCTGGAGGAACTGAAAAAGCCATATCATAGTGATATATGTGCACCTCTTGCAGCACAATTTGTGATAGCCAAATCTTAGAAACAACCAAGATGCCCATCACCTGAGGAATGGATGAAAAAGATGTGGTATTTTTATACAATGGAGTGTTACTCAGCTATAATGAATGATAAACTTGAAGCCTTTACATTTAAGTGGATGCCACTTGAAGACATAAGTGAAATAAACTAGACCCACATGTGTAAATATTGTACAGTCTCCCTAGTGTAAGAACTCAAAAGAAATATAGAAAGGTATAACACAATTAAAAGGAAAGCAAGAACTTAAGGATTAAACAACAAAGACAGGGCAAGGAGAAAAGCTAGGAAACATGACAGAGGCGAAGTCATACATTTATATGCACAAGATGGGTAAGGTAATGATCCTGAGAATCTTCAGATTTTTGAAACTAGCAGTTAACTGGTAGGATTCTCACCCTGACTAACTATATATGCTGATACCTGTGCACTAAGCAACTACACTGAAGAAAGCAATGTGTAATGGTAGGGTCACACTTGGAATGCCTGTCATTCTGGTCTTCTAAATATATACTATTTGTCATGACATACCAATTACTGTCATTAGGGGTGGGCCAACCTCTCCCATTTACTAAGACTAGGACTAAGATTGAGACTGCTAAGATTAAAGGCAAGGCCAACCACGGTTAATGATGTCACTCATGTACCCTTGTTACCATTGGATCAATACTGAGCAATTATACTTGCAATCTTACGGTTGATCATAATTTTGACCCACATTGTAGCTGCCTCATGATTTTGCTCTATAAAATTCATTTGAGAGGTAGGCTTATTGGCAGCCCACTCAGGACCCTTCCTATCTCTCAGGAGCTATTCCTATTCCCCATTCTCATTCTCCAA